GGACGCGGGCCGCGCCTCGCGATGACGTCACGCGCGCGACGCGCCCGCCCCTCACGGATCCAGCCCGGGAAGTGGGCGAGTTAGAGCGCGGACGGCTGGGTGAAGACCCTGTGCCCTTACATCCGCCCCAGAACTAAGCCCCAGACCCTACCGGTTACTCTTGACTGAAGGGCCCTCTGCAACCCTTGGGAACTCGACCCTTAAAAGACACCACCTCCAGGGGCTCTTTCCAAGCGTGCCCGCCCCCCAAAAGAGGAACGTGATATCTATCCAATGAGAACTCTCGGGACCAAAGGAAGCCTCTCGATTCAGCCAATGAGCATTAATTCTGTGGGAATGGCCCGCCCATCGCGGAGTTCTGGGGCGGATACCTAAGAGAACACAGCCAATAACTGTGAAGCTTTTGACGTTAATCACGCCTCAAGCTACGCCCCCACATGGGCTTCAAAATTCGCGCCGTGGTTTCTGTGTTCGTTGTGAAGGCTGGTGAGCTGAACCCTCGTCTCAGCAAGCGTAGTTGCGCGGGCATGGTTTCCTCTTCTTCCCCCTCCTCTTCTTGCGCGGCCGGTTTGGGCGCCGTGGAGCTGCAGGTACAGCCCTTCGTTGAGGCCGAGGTTTAGAAGCAGCGCTCCCAGCCGCTGGTGCAACAGAGAGCGCCCCCTGCTGGGAGAAGCCTGGCCTGGCACGATTCAAATTTCTTGTTAGAGCTGTCACTCTCAGGACGCCTTGTCATCTGAGAGTGAGCAAAGACCAATTTTTTAATATGAGGTTTGAGGATCCTATGTGTATTTGATTGTTTTTAACGCTAATCTTGTAAAAATAAATAATTAGGTGAATGGGAAACTATTAGATGTATATTACAGTATGCAGGACAGTGCTGTTGAGTCCCCTGATTTGCTTCCTATAATTTTATTTACTTGTTTGTTTGTTTGAAGCAGGGTCTCACTATGTAGTTGAGACTGACCTGGAACTCACTATGTAGACCAGGCTGGTCTCGAACTCACAGCGATCCTCCTGCCTCAGCCTCCCAAGTGCTGGGATTACAGACGTGCGCCACCATGTCCGGCTTTGTAATTCTTTTTTAAAATGCAATTGTTATTATTAGAAGCCCACAGAAGAAATTAATTTACCCTTGGGCTGGGGGGTTTAGCTCAGTGGTACTGCCACCTGCCTCAAAAGCGCAAGGTCCCAGGCTCCATTCCTGGTACAAAAAAGAAAAAGAAAAGAAAGACGAGAGAGAGAGAGAGAGAGAGAGAGAGAGAGAGAGAGAAGGAAAAGAAAAGAAGAAAAGATGTTACTAAAGAAATTACACAGATTTAGACCAATCACCAGGCATCAGTGGCACTTCCTGTCATCCCAACACTCAGGAGGCTGAGGCAGGAGGATCAAGTTCAAAACTTCCCTGGGCTGCATAGTAAGTTCAAGGTCAGCCTGAACTGCATAGCAAGACCTTGACTCAAACAAACAGCCACCCCCATATTTAGGCTACTATAAAAGTGACAGTCTCTCAGATAGAGGTATGTGTTGGATGTTAATCATTTTAGATTCCATTGACTGCATTGTTTTGATTACAGAAATAAAAAAATTCTACGAGAAAAAATTCCTGTGGTTAGTTTAAAGGCAGGGCCCCTTCTCCCAAAGAAAACCAGGATTGAATTGGCCTGGTCATTTGCCCGTGAACCGAACTCTGCCCTCCCGAAATCCCTCAGTCCGATCTCTGTGTCTCCACCCTCAGGTCACGATCTTGTCCACTGTCGCAGCTGGGGCTCCCCGAAGATAGCAAAGTGGGGAGCCCACAAAAGTGGGGAGTCCACAGACCCTGAGTGGCCTCTCCCGGCACCCTCGCAACGGCAATGAAATGATCTGAGTTTTCTTCGATTCTTCTCCACGTTCCCCGATCGACCTCCAGGGGGCGCCGCGAGCCCAGTCCGGGCCGGGCTGGCCAGGAGGTCAGCGCGGCACCAACCACTCCTCGGTCGACCATGTGCTGTCCAAAGCCATCCGGAAAAGGGAGAGGTTGTGAGATTCTGATGACGTGAGACAGGCAGAGCGTGCCTCTCTAAACAGCACTGAGGAGGAGGAGGGTGATTGGAGCCGGTGGGGTCTGCTATGTAGCCCAGGCTGGTCTTGAACTCACGCTGATCCTCCTGCCTCAGCCTCCCGAGTGCTGAGATAAAAGGTGTGTGGCACTATGCCTGGAGAATATCATTATTATTAGTAGTATTCTTTTCTCTCTCTCTCTCTCAGTCTCAGGACCTGCGCTTTTGAGGCAGGCGCAGTGCCACTGAGCTAAATCCCTGGCCCTATTATTATTTTCATTATTATTATTGAACAAAGATTTTTGTCTTCAAAGAGAAAAGAGAGCTAAAACAGATAAGGTGAACCCTGGAGTATTTAACTGCTGTACGACTGCCGCCTGCCTCACAAGCACAAGGTCCCATGTTCGACCCCCAGTACCAAAAATAAAGAAATAAACTGACTGAATGAATAAATAAATGCTGTGTGAAAGATGTAGACTTTTTTTGTTTGGTACTGGAAATCGAATTTGGGTCCTTGTGCTTTCGAGGCAGGTGGTGCCACCACTGAGCTAACCCGCCCCCTCCGGCCCATATTGAAATTTTTTGTTTGGTTGGTTTTTTTTGAACTCCGGTGCGTGAGCTTGCAAGGCAGGTGACAGAACCTCTGAGTTAAATCCCTGGTCCATTCCAGCTTATGTATTTTGTTTTTGTTTGAAAGATGTGGACTTTTAAAACAATTTTTTGCATCTGATATGTAATATTTGAACATTTTAATGAATATTAATAAGGATGTGCAATGAAACTGTGTTACCATCCCAAGTATAGTGGGAAAAAGCAGAAGAAAAAAAATTACAAACGGGAGTGTAGTGGTGCACACCTGTAATCCCAACACTTGGGAGGCTGAGGCAGGAGGATTGCTGTGAGTTCAAGGCCAGCCTGAACTAGCAAGATCCTGTCTCAAAATATAAAAAAGAAGAAAGAAAGAAAGAAGAGAAAAAGAATTTACAATGTTTTTAAGATTTATTTATCTGTATGACTTTTGGAGACAGGGTCTTACTATGTAGTTTGGGCTGACCTTGAACTCACTGTGTAGCCCAGGCTGGCCTCAAACTCTTTGATCCTCCTGCCTCAGCCTCCAGAGTGCTGGGATCACAGGTGTGAGCCACCATGCTCACCTCCCATTTACATATTTCTCTTACAGTGACCTCCAGTTTCATCCATGTTGCTGTAAATTACAGGATTCCACTCTTTTTTCTTGCTGCATAATATTCCATCCTGGCCTTAGGATTCACCTCTCAAGGGATAACTCAGTTGATTCTGTACCTCAGCCACCGTGACCTGTGCTGCCAGAAACGTGTGAGTGAAGAAATCTCTTTGATGTAGTCATTTCCTTTGCATATAGACCTGGTGTGAGATTACAGGATCATATGGTCATTCTATTTTTAGTTTTTTTGAGGAACCTTCATACTGTTTTCCATAATAACTGTATTAATTTGCATTCTCTCCGGGGATAAGAGTTCCCCTTTTTTGAGCCCTGGCAGCATTTGTCATTTTTAAAGTCTTTTTTTGCTTATACCCAGTCAAAGTGGGGTAAAACAGCTCCTTATTGTGGTTTGGATTTGCATGTCTCTGATAATTAGTGGGGTTGAGCATTTTTTCATATACTTGTCGACCGTTTGCTTTGCAGTTGTAATAGTTTGTTATCTCTTTTTTTTTTCCTCTTCAGACGGGGTCTCCTTATGTAGTTCAGGTGGGCCTTGAACTCACCACGGAGCCCAGGCTGGCCTCAACTCCTGGTGACCCTCCTGCCTCAGCCTCCCGAGAGCTAGGATCACAGGTGTGTTGCACCACACCTGGCTCTAGATTGTGATTTACAGGCAGATGTGCTGGTTTGCTCCGTGGCAAAGAGTTTAGCTTTTCTGTGGAGAACAACAGAACTTCACTGAGTTGCTTAAAGATTTGTTAGGCACGTACAGTATACCCCCGGGTGAGCCCAGTTTGAGGACCTGGATGGGGCAGGGGACCAAAGTAGTCTGGTTCTGAGGGAGCTCATGGGACAATTCCTGAATGGAAAGGGGTTTCCCTAGGCTGCAACCTGAGATCTCCAGGGATCTCTCAGGGCTTCCCCGACCTCGCCACTGCGCAGAGCCAAAACCCAGGCTGTGCGCGCGCGCGCGCGCACACACACACACACACACACACACACACGCACACACGCTACCACTGAGCTGCCCCCCCAGCACCTGCCATATTCCTTTCCCATTAGTATCTGTCTTCTAAGTTTCTGTATAATTCCCTGAAGTCTAAACTCCCCCAGGGCTGGGGATTTAGTTCAGTGGTTCTTCCGCCTGCCTCCCAAACGCAAGGACCAGTGTTTGAACCCCAGTACCAAAAAATACTCAGTGGTGCCGCCACCTGCCTCGCAAGCCCAAGGCCCCAAGTTTGATCCCCGGTACAAAAAAAAAAAAAAAACGAAGAAAAAAAGAAAGAAAAACTCCCCCAAAGCTGGAATTTTCTTTTGTCTGGTTTCCTGCTGAGGCTCTCAGCATTGACCATATTCCCTGGGACACCAGAGGAGCTCAATAAACAACTCTCCCTCCCTGCCCCTCTCCCTCTCCCTTCCCCTCTTCTTCCTTCGATTTCTTTTCTTTCCAGTGCTGGGGATGGAACCCAGGGCCTTCACTCTGAGATACATCCCCAACCCCTTTTTTACTTTTTATTTTGAGACAGAGTCATGCTAAACTGTCCAGGCTGGGCTTGAACTTGAGATCCTCCTGCTTCGGCCTCCAGAGTACCTGGGATCACAGGTGTGCGCCACCACGCTGGCTGCTGAGTAAATTCTTGAGTGCATGTCTTCAGTCATCTTTCTACTGCAGGGCCCTGCCTGGGTCTCAAAGTCTCTATCTCCGAGGTCCCTGGGTGCCTAAAGTGTTCCAGAAGCGACATAGACACAAGGTCAAATCCAGGGGCTGCCACTGACTGGCTGGGTGTCGCTGGGCTGTGGCCCCTGAGGGACCCCTGCCTGCTGTGTCAGGATCACAGTGCCTGGCTCCCGAGGGAGGCGTGGCTCTTTTCCCCCCGTGGAGGGACCTGTAAACACCTGAGTCAGATCACATCCCTTGTTTCCTTACAGCAAAAGCCAAAGTTATCCTCACAGCCTACAAAGCCCCGCAGGCCCTGCTGGCCCCTCCCCCCACCTCAGGCTCCGTCACTCTGTGGCTGCAGCTGCACCAGCCTCCTCATCCAGTCCCACCAAACCCAGGGCCTTGCTCCGGTCGGTCATTAGTTCCTCCCTCCTGGTCTCCTCCTCTCCCACCCACCCACACCTGAAGGCTTCAACCACCTTTCCTTTCCTACCCTGCCTTTCTGCAGAACTTTCCCCATCTTGTAGACAAGGTCCTGTCCCTCTTTGTTTTGCAGTGCTGGGGGAGGGGTCGAACCGCAGGTCTCTCACGTGACAGGCATGTGCTCCACCCCTGAGCTACACCCCCAAACCTATCCGATTTCGTTTTTGTTTGTTCGTCTGGAACAGGGTCTCTGTGTAGCCCAGGTTGGCCTTGAACTCCCAGTGATCCTCCTGCCTCAGCCACCTCAGGCTTCCAGCTGGCTGATCATACAGAATGCAGTTTGCACAGAATGCCCCACTGTTAATCATGAGTCCTAATAAAAGGGATGTGACAGCCAGGTGCGCTACCTCACACTTATCCAGCAGTCTAGGAGGCTGAGGCAGGAGGATCATAAGCCCAGCCTGGGCAATTTAGCAACTTAGCAAGACTTTGCCTCAAAAAAAAAAAAAAAAAAAAAAAAAAAAAAAAAAAGGCGTAGATGCAGCTCATTGGTAGAGCGCTCCTGGGGTCCGATCCCCAGTGCAAAAGCATTTTGAGCATTTTGGACCAAGGCTGGGTGGAGGTCAATGATCAATACAACCAGCAGCCTGCGTGGATCAAAGGCTCAGTAGCACACGACCTCTGTTCCCAGCAGTGTGGGGTCAGCCTCCTGAAACTGGCAGCACAGAGAGGATCTTCGCTTGCCATGGTGATCTCGGCAATTCTGGGGGTGCACTTACGAATCTGGGGGAGCCCCCAACATCGGTCCTGTCCTAACTCCAGCGTCACCGAAAGCCGAGGTCAGCGCTCGAGTCTGGGGCTGCAGCCCGGAAGTAGGGGGTGCAGATCTGACGCGGGAGACTGGAGAGTCCCCTCCCCCACGGCCAGAGCATCTGCTTCGGGTTTGTTTTCTTCGGGTTTGTTTTCTTCGGCGTGGTAACCGCCAGGCCTTGGGGCGGAGCCTCCTCCGCACACTGCAGCCCTGGGGAGGGGCTCGCATGGCAGCCTTTCCGGCGGCTTCTATTCCCTGAGCAACCCCAGGGATGGTGGGCACAACCAGACTGGCACCTGGCTTGGCAGAGTCGGACCTTCCTGGCGATTTGAACCCCTGGCGCCTCATCTGGGGTCTCTGGGCCTCAGTTTCCGCCTTTGTAAAATCAGGGCATCATTGCCCCTTCCTAACGCACCTTTTTCTTGTTGGTGGCGCTGGGGAAGCAACCTAGGGCCTCCAGCATGCCAGGAAAGCTCTCTAGCACTGAGCTGCCTCCAGCCCCCATATGCTAATCTTTTTTCGTTTTGCCAGACTGAGGACTGAACCCAAGGTCTTTGCACTAAGCTACATCCCTAGTCCATCTATTTCTGTATCTGAGTCTGTGCCTGTGCCTGTACCTGTATCTGTATCTATATTTATCTATATTTTACTTTGAGGCAGCATCTTGCTAAATTGCCAAGTTGCCCAGGGTGACTTTGAGCTTGCAACCCTCCTGCCTCAGCCTCCCAAATAGCTAGGATTACATGTGTGCTTCACTATTTCTGGTTCTCTATTTGCCAGTTTTTAATAGTCTCAGCATCCTTTGGATTCTCATCTTTGTAACCAACCCCTGTATTAAATTCCCTCTTTGTTTTTTTTCTTGGTACCAGGAATCAAACTTGGATCCTTGCGAGGCAGACGGCAGCACCACTGAGCTAAATCCCCGGCCCAGGTTTCTTTTTTAAATGCCATTTTTTCCCCTGGTACCAAAAAACAAAAAATAAATGTTAATTTTTTAAAATATAATTTTCCAGGTGTGGTGGCGCACACCTGTAATCCCAACACTTGGGAAGCTGAGGCAGGAGGATCGCTGCAAGTTTGAGGTCTGCCTGAGCTACACAGTGAGACACCTGTCTCAAAATACAAAAAAAAAAAAAAAAATTTTTTTTACAATAAAACCTTCCCTTTTTAGCACATAGAGGCACAATTTTCCACAAGGCTATGTATTCACTGTGCTCAAAATGTAAAATGGTTCCATCACCAAAATCCCCAATGCTTCTCTGTGCCAAACCCCCACTATGCCCCTAGGCCTTAGCAACCACTGATCTCACTATGGTCCCTATACTTTCACCTTTTTTAGAGACTTTTTTTGGGGGGAGGGTACTGGGAATTGAACTCGGGTCCTTGCACTTGCAAGGTAGGCGGCGGAACCACTGAGCTACATCCCCAACCCGTTTCACCTTTTCTAAAACATCAAAGAAATGGAATCACAGCCAGGCATGGTGGCCCATGCCTGTAATCCCAGCACTCGGGAGGCTGAGGCAGGAGGATCCCTGTGAGTTCAAGACCAGCCTGGGGTACACAGTGAGTTCCAGGTCAGTCTCAACTACATAGTGAGACCCTGTCTCAAAAAAAAAAAGAAATGGAATCACATAGCCGAGTTGGGTGGCCACACACCTGTCATCCCAGCAGTCTGGAAGGCTGAGGCAGGAAGATCACAAGTTTGAGTCGAGTTGACTTAGCAAGACCCTGTCTCAAAATAAGGGATCTTTAATAAAGGGCTGGGGATGTACTCAGTGCAAGGGTCCTGGGTCAATCTCCAGTACATCAAGAAAGAAGGGAGGTAGGAAGAGGGGATGGAGGCAAGGGAACAAACTGGGAGGGAAAGAAAAGGGATGGGATCATATGGTTGGATCCTTTTCCATTTGTCCTCTTTCCCTTCTCCCAAGGTACTTGAGATTCCCCCAGGTGATTACGGATTGCCAGTCCCTTCTTATTTATGTATTTATTGAGACGCAGTCTTGCTAACTAGTTTGTGCTGGGCTTCAACTTCTTATGTGGCCCGACTTGGCCTTGAACTTGTGGTCTTCCCGAGTGCGTGTGCCCCACAGCCCCTGCACCACCAGTCTCTTATTCTGATAGCACAGAGGTCTTCAGTTTTACTTCATTGGCTGGTTGGTACGTGTGTGTTTGTGTGTGTTTGTGAAAAAGATTAGATTTTTGGAGACAGAGACTCTATTCAAGGCGGCTCTTGAATTCACTGAGTCCCTCACGCTGGCCTTGAACTCACAGCAATCCTCCTGCCTCAGCCTCTCAAGTGCCAGGATGCTAGGCGTGTATCACGTTGTATATAATATTCTTTAATCTTAGTTTTGGGGTATTGGGGATGGGACTTGTCAGGTAAAAAAAGCTGAAAACAAAGACCAGACCAAAACTATAAGAAGCCTTTATTATGGGAGGATCTGCTGGGCTGTCTCGGAACCAAGGAGAAAGAGTAATATGGCTGCAACAGGGAACTCTTATAGGAGCTGGGGTGGGATCGAGTGCTGTAGTGGCTAGGGGTTGGGGGAGGTTGTGAGATCACCAGGAGGGGCTTGTGACATTACTCGTGGCTAGGAGGTAGCAAGTATCAGGTTATTCTTTTGGCGGGAAGTTCAGGTTACTCTTTTGGTGGGAAGAGGGGCACGTTGGGAAGAAGACTGTTCTTTGGTAGCAGCCATATTTTCGGCGAGAAGCAGGGCATTATGGGAAGGAGAAGGCTATTTTATGTAGCAGCCATTTTAAGGTGAGGGAAATCTAACATTCCAGGCTTTTGTTTTATGGCTGTTGGAGCTGCTTCAAGAGGACAAAGGGGCAAAGACTGGGGCTAAACCTGGACCTGATGGGGGTGGCGATAGATGAGGTCTTCCTCCTCCTGTCGCAGTGGCCAGTACCCCGCCGTGACAAGTTCTGTGACTGGTTGGTAGATGCCTTCATGCGTTCCTGCAAGAAATTTTGAAAACAGAGGAGCAGACATGCCAGAAGACACAAGAAGATCAGCGGGCCCAATAAGGGAAGTAGCCATGGCATACTCAGAATCTTGCCCGTGCTGGGTAAGTGACCTACCCCTGAGACGCACCTCCAGCTCCTCCAAATATGTATATAGTGAGGCAGCTGTGCTCAATTTTTTTTGTTGTTGTTGTTTTTTTGGCGCTGACAATCAAATTTAGGACTTCCCACCTGCCAGGCAGGCACTGTGTCGCTGAGCTGCAGTCCCGGCTCAACCCCAGTTTTTTGGCAACAGCCAAAGCATTAGAATGAAAAACCAACTGACAGCTGTGGCGTGCAAGGCCCTAGGGGGGTGGGGGCTGCATGCGTAATGGCACGCGCCTGTAATGCCGGCACTTGGGAGGCTGAGGCAGGAGGAACTGTGTGACTGAGACTTTGAGGCCAGCCCGGGCTCCACAGTGAGTTCAAGCCCAGCCTGAACTACATAGCGAGACCCTGTCTCGAAAACAAACACAAAACCAAACAAATTTCTTTCGAGTCAAGGTCTTGCTGAGTTGCCCGGGCTGGCCTCTAATTTTGCAATCCTCCTGCCTCAGCCTCCTGAGTAGCTGGGATGACAGGTGTGCCGCGCCGGGCCGGATGTACTGCTGCTGAGCTCTTCCTAGGAAGATCTGTCAGGTGCTTGGGACAGTGAAGGTCCCTCGTAGGTGCCATCTGTTATGCAAGGCGGGGGTGCCCTGCTGAGAAGCCGGCCTCCTTCCAGGCTCCCAGAGCAGAGTCTGCATCTGCTGCCGAGGTGGCCTCCTCCCTCACGTGTCCCCGCAGCTGTGTGAGGCTGGAGCCCACAGAGCAGAGGCCCAAGCCCGCGGAGACCGGCCTGTGGGAGGCTTCTCTGGGGTGGGGGGCCCTCCCTCCTGTGCTGCGCCAGGGTGACAGAGAGAAAGCTGGGTGGGTCTCAGACAATTCTCCCCTCCAGGGAGGATGGGGGCGTCACAGGGCCTGGGGCGGGGGAGCCAAGCGCTGCACAGGGGACAAGGACCCGGTCAGTGCCTGAGGCTGGGTTGGGGCCTCAGGATAAACACAGGACAGAGGAGCAGGGCGCCTAGGCCAAGAGCGGCCAGGCGACCCGGGTTCAAATCCCAGCCCTCCTCTGTGCCGTGGTGTGGGCCTCATTTGGTTACTGTAACAGGATCGCCCGCCGGGGCAGTGATGAAGACAAGGGGTTCCTTTGGGCCCAGGGTTTGGTCCAAGGCCAAGGCCCACATCTGGAAGTGGCTTTTCTGCTGGCAGAGGCCCCCGCCACGCAGGACATCACGTGACGAAGACAAGAGGGTGTGTACGTCTCTGCGTGTCCCTCTGATCTCTCCCCTGCACCGTGTTGTTTCCTCCTGGTGTCCAGCAAATGCTGGGCCAGGGCCCTGCCCCTCATCCACATCTCAGCCTCCTTCCTTTTTCTGTTCCTCCTCGCACCCTTCTTCTTTTTTTGTGAGACAGGGTCTTTATATGTAGCTCAAGCTGGCCTCAAAGTTGCTGCGATCCTCCTGCCTCAGCCTCCCAAGTGCTGGGGTCTCCACACTCAGCTTCTCCCTATGGCCACTAGAATTCAGTCACAAGAGGCTCTATCCTGATGACGTAACCACTCATCAGCACTACCCAAAGCCTCCACAGCTAAATGCCACGGTGAGCTTAAATTCCCACTTCTCAGTACAGTAGCTCACACTGGGAACTACATTTTCACACATAAACCCTCCAGGGACACATTCAAACCATTTCCAGACCCTAGGACTGAGTTTTCCTCATCTTTAAAATGGGGCGATAAGCTAGGTATGATGGCACACACCTGTGATCCCAACACCTGGAGGCTGAGCCAGGAGGATCATGGACAGCTCAAGGCCAGCCTGGACTACATAGTGAGACCCTGTCTCAGGACACCTAGTGACTAAATAAATGAGGTGATGACAGCACCCTTGGGCTGAGAGCATGCACCCAGCCAAGCCCAGCACACGGTTGGTGTGGGGTAAGCGTTAGCCATTATCGTCAAAGACCCTATAATTAGTGGAAGCTTGTCCGGGCCTCTTCCTTCTCCTGGCCTTCCCTGCCTGGGCGCTCTCCAAGAAAAGGGCCCTGTTTCCTTCCTCTTCCCTTGGTCCCTTCCCTGGGCAGGACCCAGCTTGCTCCTGATCTCTTGTACTAACCGGAAGTCCAGGCCTCCAGCTGACCTGGCCAAGACCCTGAGTGTCCTGAGGTCAGGGGAGGCCGAAGTTGTGCGTTGGTGTGGTTGGTGTGTGTGCCCCGAGGACATCACCTTGCTGCGGGAGCCACTGCTCCCCAGCAGACAGCCGGATGTGTCTGTGGCCTTGACATCGCACCCACCCCCAGGGCCCAGGGGAGGCGGCGGAGTGCTGAGCCAGGCTGGGGGGGGCACTTCCTCCCCTGCCGCTCTGACAGCCCGACTGAGGAGAGCCGGTTCCCCACTCTTCCCCTGTGGGTTAGACACCTGGTGTCTAGGTGTCGCCCTGGCAGTGCTTCTCCATCTGCGGAGGACACAGTGAGGTTTGGCTGAGGTCCAGGTAGACCCCCAACATCTGGCCTGAAACCTAACGGTCTCTGAAATTGAGCCGGGGAAAAGGAATACAATCTACAGGGACAACTTGGTGATTTTTTTTTTTAAGTAGTGGGAATTGAACCTTAGGGCCTTCGCATGGAGCTCCATACATATCCTTTTTTATTTTTTGAGATTGGATCTCCCTAAGTTGCCCAGGCTGGGCTCCATCTGAGATCCTCCTGTCTCAGCTTCCTAGAATGCTGGGATCACGGGTGTGCACCACCACACCTGGCTCCTTTGACTTTTTTTTAATCTCTTCCATCCTATGTTAGGGCTGCATCCTTTCAGCTTTTTTTTGTTTTGTTTTCAGGACTGGGGATAGAACCCAGGACCATGGGTGCTAGACGAGGGTTCTACCACCGAGCTACGACACCAGCCCATCTGCCAGCTTGGTTTTTTGTTTTGTTGTTGTTGTTGTTGTTGTTGTTGTTGTTTTGAGATGGGGTCTCACTGTGCAGTTCAGGCTGACTTTGAGTGAACTCACTCTGTAGTCCAGGCTGACCTGTCGAACGTACGACAATCCTCCTGCTTCAGCCTCCCGAGTGCTGAGATCACAGTTATACATCATCACACCTAACCAGACCGTCAGCTTTGGATAGCAGCAACCAATAAAGCATAACTAAGACCCGGTGAAGAGCAATGCATGTTATATTACATGTGCGTAAATGTTGTGTGCATCTGTGTAGCATTAATATATTCTTAATATGTATTCACTTATTATTTATTCACCTTTTTTGGTGGTATTGGGGATTGAACCTAGGGTCTCACAGATGCTAGACAAATGCTCTACCACTGAGCTATCCCCAACCCTATTTATTTTTGCAGTTTTTGGGATGGACCCTACCACACGTTTAGCACATGTTCTACCACTTAGCTACACCTCCATCTCCTCCTTTATTGATAACTTTTCTGTTTTTTTTTTTTGTTTTGTTTGAGACAGGGTCTCACTCGGTAGTTGAGACTGACCTGGAGCTCACCATGTAGCCCAGGCTGGTCTCGAACTCACAGCGATCCTCCTGCCTCAGCCTCCCAAGTGCTGGGATGACAGGTGTGCGCCACCACGCCCGGCTAAAGGTGTTTTTTCTTAATATAAATTGAAGCTCAAGCTGGGTATGTAGCTCAGTGGCACTGTGCCTGCCTGGTAAGTGTGAGGTCCTGAGTTCGATCCCTGGTACAAATATATATATAATATTACTATATCTATATTTATATCTATCTATAGTGAAGCTCAATTTGTTGGATAAAACATGTACAGCTGAGCACGGCAGTGCACACCTATAATTTAAGGATTCAGAAGGCTGAGGCATTCTCATTGCCACAAGTTCAAGATTAGTGGGGCCAGGGATTTAGCTCAGTGGCACCACACCTGCCTCACAACCACAAGGTCCTGAGTTCGATCCCTGGTATGGCAAAAAAAAGAATAGCCTGCACTATGTTTCAAGACTATGTCTCAAAAAAGAAAAACAAAAACCTGTCATGTAAAGGTACAAGATCCCAACAATGAATGTAACTGTACTGTATACCTAAAATGTACCAATAAACTCAATGAGGAAAAAAAAATGTGTGTGTCTGAGTGTATGTCCGTGTGTTCAGTACTGGGGATTGAACCCAGGGCCTTTGCACTGAACTACATCCCCAGCCTTTTAAATTAAAAAAACAAAACAAAACAACTGTTTATTTATTTATTCATTTTGACCCCTGATCTTGCTTTGTAGTTCAGGCCAGCCTTGAACTCACTGTGTAGCCTAGACTGGCCTCAAACTCATGATGATCCTCCTGGCTCAGCCTCCCAAGTGCTGGGATTACAGGCGAGCGCCACCACTCCTGGCCCAGAAATGTACGTTAATAACATTACAGTGCTAGAGCATTGGCCTCGAGTGTTCAAGGTCCTGGGTCCCATCTGCTGCACTGCAAATAGAGTATTTATTTAGTAAACTATTTTTTGGTTTCGGTTTTGGCACATAGAACCTAAGATCTTGCATGTGCTAGGCCAGTGGTCTACCATGGAACTATATTCTGAGCCTTTTTTAGTTTTCATTTCCTTACATTGCCCAAGCGGGTCTGGAACTTGTGATCTTCCTGCCTCAGCCTCCCCAAAAGCTGGGATTACAGGCATGTGTTACCAGGCTTGCTATCTGTTAATATTTTTCTATTATTAACTAATATTATTATCATCATCACTGCAAGAACCAATTTATACCCAGAAGTCAAGTAATTTGCTAGCTTTTATTTTTCATGTCTGTAAGTTTTTTGAATTAGCACAAGCTAAAATTTTCAAATAGCTCCCCAGGGTATGCTGTACAAAGCAGGGCCTTTCTTACCTAATTTTTCTGCCTCTCAGCTCTCCTCCCTGAGGGTGACAGCTGTGACGAGTGTCTCATGCCTTTTCCCGGAGGTGGCTCGTGAGGCCACAGGCAAATGTGTGTGTATTAATACAGCCCTTAAAAATACACTCAGAAATGGAGAAAAACAGCACACATTTTACATTTTCTTTTCTTTTTCTTTCTTTTTCTTTCTTTTTTGAGATAAAAGAATCTCACTCTGTAGCCCAGGCTGGCCTTGAACTTGTGAGGATCCTCCTGCCTCAGCCTCCTGAGGGCTGGGGTTACAGGCGTGTGCCACTGTGCACACCCGGCAATGTAATGTGATGTTGAAATCAGTTTCACACCAGTACACATAAGACTACTCGATTTTTCATTTGGTGCTGAGGATTGAACCTAGGTCTTCACACAGGGTAAGTACAGAGTCCACCACTAAGCCCTACCTGCAGCCGCTATTTTTTGTTTGTTTGTTTGAGACAAGGTTTTGATGTAAACCCCGGGCTGATCTCAAATTCACAGCAATCTTGCCTCAGCCCACCGCCCTACCCCCAGTCCTGGGATTACGAGTGTGAGCCACCACACCTGACTCCACTTTAATGTCATTAATTTATTTTTTTGGTACCAAGAACTTCCTTATGCTTGTGAGGCAGGCGGTGGCATGACGGAGCGAAATCCCCGTCCCTCCACTTTTATTTATTTATTTTGGTTTTTTGGGACAGGGTCTCCCTATGTAGTTGAGACTGACCTGGAACTCACTGTGTAGCTCAGGCTGGTCTCGAACTCACAGCGCTCCTCCTGCCTCAGCCTCCTGAGTGTTAGGATTACAGGCGTGAGCCGCCACGCCTGGCCCTCCGCTTTTATTTTTAATAGATATCCAGGGCTCCGCTCCAATTTTCTTTTTCTTCTTGTTGTGTTCAGACTCTCCTAGGCAGAAAATACATAAAGAAGACAGTAAGCAGCCACTCCCTGCTTTTTATGGGTTCCACAGCAAGGTATGGGGCAGCCTTCATTTCTGTAATTTAATTTATCGTTGAGGTGGAACATGCGTGTGCACGCTATGAAAGTCAAGTACAAAGTACGCCCAGGAGGAAAAAGGAGCAGGCTTTCTCCCAGCTCGCTCCTCTTTCGGTTCCTCTTCCAGGAAATGTACAAACTTCTTCCTTCTGTCTTCGGCGCATCCTGTGTGAATACCAGCTGTGCAGGGACCAGGGGTTTGGTCTGTTTGAGGATATACATGGGTTTTTTGTCTGTTTGATTTGTTTTATGTACCGGAGTTCAGACTCAGGACCTCAGGCTTGCGAGGCAGGTGCAGCAGCACTGAGCTAAATCCCTGGCTTTTTGTGTTTTGAAACTATGCTTTTTGTAGTTCAGGCTGGCCTTGAACTCACTCCTCAAATGCACCGGAATCCTCCTGCCTCAGCTTCTTGAGTTCTGGGATCACAGGCATGTGTCACGATGCCCCGCTCCATGCACCTCCAGCACGTTGGTAGGTAGTTAAGTAGCGACTAGACATCCAATCAACTACACAGACATTGGAAGAAGTGGAGGCCTTTGTTTTCTGCTGGTGCTAGGGGTGGAACCCACGAGCCTCATGCTTGCCAGACAAGCACCCTGTCCCTGAGTGCACCCCAGCCCCTGCTAATCGCTTTCTTTATTTCTTTAAAGGTGCTAGGGATCAAACCTAGGGGTGACCTACCATTAAGCCACATCTCCATTCCTTTTGAATTTTTTTTCTTTTACCAGGGATCAAATTCAGGACCTTACATTTGCGAGGCAGGTGCAGTGCCCCTGAGCTAAATCCCCAACCCTTAATTGTTTTTTTTCTTGACATGGAGTCTCACAAAGGCCGTGGTAGGACTCAAACTTCCGACCCTCCTGCCTCAACCTCCCTCCAGTGCCTGGCCGGCGCTGGCTGGCTCTCTTCGAACGTATGTATTTTGTCGGTAAGTATCTGGGGGAATTGGTACCACTGTGTGCCGTGCCCTGATCGTGTTCGGTCCCCTTTCTCCCTTCCTTGGTCTCCCGTTCCCCTCACCCTCTTCCCCATATCCAAACAGCCTGCCTCCCTGTTTCCCGCCACCTCTCCTGTATTTCGCTTATTTATTTATTTATTTATTTATTTATTTATTTATTTATTTTGAGACAGGATCTCCTTATGTAGTTGAGACTGACCTGGAACTCACTATGTAGCCCAGGCTGGTCTCGAACTCACGGCGATCCTCCTGCCTCAGCCTCCCGAGTGCTGGGATGACAGGCGTGCGCCACCATGCCTGGCTTCTCTAATTTATTTATATTTTGGGCTTCTCTAGGAAGGGAAACCACGGAATAGTCAACTTTCTGTGTCTGTTTTATTTCATTTAGCATTGAGGGCCCAAGACACCCCTGTTTTCCTGTATTCATTCTACTCTGTGGCTGAATACAATCCCATTGGGTGTGTATACCACTGGTTCTTTATCCATTCCTCTGGTTAGTTCTCTTGTTTGGTACTGGGAATGGAACCCTGGGCCTTCATACCGAGCTACACGCCCAGCCCCTTTTTATTACTTTGAGACAGAGTCCCCCTGAGTTGCTAAGTTGCCCAGGCTACGTTTGAACTTTAGATTCTCCTGCCTCAGCTTCCCGAGTACTGGGATGACAGGTTTGTACCACCATACCTGGTTTGAATTCTGGGATCTTATCAAGGCAGAGAACAATCTTGTCTTTGGAACAGGCCGCAGCATGCGTTAGGAACTGATCTGCTGGAAGGGCACACCATAGACCCCTCATGCCTGTTTGTCGTGTTGATCCGTAGAAGGTGTGTCAAGATTCCTTGTTGAATAAATAAAGGCGACCCCATGCTTCCCTCTTAACTTCAGGGACCCAGGGACAAGCCCAGGGTCTATCCCAGGGTCCCAGGCACAAGCCCAGGGTCTATCCCAGGGTCCCAGGGACAAGCCCAGAGTCTATCCGGCGCTGAAACAGGTTGAGGCCACCTGGCTAGGTGGGGAGCTATGACGTCACAGGGAAGCGTGACCTCACTCGCCGACTGGTTCTCACGGGTGGGGGTGGGAGGGGTAGGTCAGAGCGGTGGGGGGGGGGACAAAGGGGGCCTGGGCGCCG